GAGTCTAGACTAGTGGTTTCCAAAGTCGGTGGTACCACCCCCTGGGGGACAGTGGGATGCCTTAGGGGAGCAATAAGAGGCAAGGGGGCTGGCAGGCGGGTGTTCAAGGCATCAGCACTGCAGGCTCACCCCACTGACTGTTGGACTGCTCCAGAGTCGGTACCTCAAATGCAGTGGCAGCGGCTTTGCTCTACTTTCCCAATGTGCTGTTGCATTCGAGGCACCGGCTCTTTGAATGGTGCAACAGTCAATAGGGTGAGCCTGCGGTGCCGATGCCTCAAACACTGCTCTGCCAGCCCCCTTGGGTGTTCGAGGCGTTGGCACCTTGTAGCGCAGGACTTGCGCAGTGTGATACCTGAAGAGCTGCCAGTGACGGGCCAGCTTTCAGCTGGTCCTCATCCAGGAAGCAGCAGAGGTCGCGCAGCTCATGGTTCTCTGCCTACAGCCGCCCGTTGATGGCTTTCAGCTCATGGGTCTTGTGCATATGCTCCTGCAGCTGCCACTGCACACTGGATCAGCCAGCTGCATTGCACCAGTGCCGCCAGCTTCTCAGCCTCCTCTCGGCTCAAATGGTGCACCAGCTCCTCACTGCAGCCGGCCAGGTCTGCCTTACTGGCCGGGGTTTCGGATGGCGGAGGAGGAGGCGGTATCTTGGAGGGGTGACTGACCAGGGGAGGTAGTGGCAGAGGAGCTGGGAGCATTGCTCGCTCAGCTCCAGGCAGTGCAAAATGGCGGTGGGGGAAGCAACCGGTTAGCCCACCCATGTAACGGCATCGTTGCAATGCTGGACACTGGGAGGAGAGAGCTGTGCTTTTACAGCTGGAATTCCTTCTTTGTCTGCTGCTGATGCCAGGATTAACGGGATGGATGAATGGCAGGACCAGACGCACTGCGCCTCCCCAGGCAGGAGCAGGTGCAACGAACGAAGAGTGCCTGCGTGGTGGAGGGCGGGAGTGAAGGGAGGAGGCGAGGGGAAGGATACCCTGTTGGTGCAAAGTCGATGGGTGAGTGGGAGCGCGTGGACCTGTGCATGGGAACAGACCGGCGGTGAGGGGAGGGAAAGCAGTGCTGGTTTTTTCCCCAAGCCGGGAAAATTGGGCAGAGGGTAGGTGGGTATGGGGAAAATGGAACAGGCTTCCACCCTTTCCCCAGTCGCAATCCAGATTAAGGAGTCTCTGCACCCACCCCCTCAGGGGTCTGGGACACCATCACCCCGGCAGCCTTCTGTAGCTTGGCAAGGGGCGTGCATGCATGGAGGCACAATTGAGATTAGGGGGCATGGGTGGGAGGGAAATGGCTTGCACCCTTTTCTTACCACTCCACTCAGACTTTCTTGGGTAGGTCCCTCCGGTGCAGCGGGCTCAATGAGGTGGACCTGCTGGGCCAGCACCTAGAATGCGACAGTGGCGGCACCTTTGAAAAGTAAAGCAAAGCCAGAGGTTGGTAATTTTTGCTGCAAAGAAGCACAAAAGCTGGGCTGTGCACTAGAAGGGACATACATGTCAATGCAATTCAGCAACATAAAATAAATACAAATAAAACAAATCAACAAGAATCAGCAAAGCATCTCTGATTAGATTCTATTCACTACTAGAATCTAATCAGAGATACTTTGCCGATTCTGGTCCAATGACCTGCTCCATCAGGGTTAGAAGGGAGTGTGTGTGTTTGTGTGTGTGCATCACAACTCCAAAAACAGGTCAAGTAGCTCTGGGGAGGCCAGTCATAAATTAGAACACTTGCTAAACAACCAGCCATTAAGTGAGGACCACTTATATTTGGTTTGCCAGTCACCTGGCCATGCCCACCCAGTCACATGACCACCAAACCACACCTACCTGGTCATGTGACCAGCAAGCCATGCCCAGCCAGTCACATGACCAGAAGCCACCCTCTCAAATTAGGCCACACCCACAGAAATTTGAATCCCATCCCTTGGTTGGGGGCACACTGAGGATGAGTTTGTAGCACGGGGGGGGGGTGGACTGAAAAAGTTTGGGAACCACTGGTCTAGACAGCACCATCAATGGCAAGTTCCATAAGCAGCATCTATCTGGAAGACACTAGGGATTTCTTTTTAATGTACATAAACATACATAATGGAATGGCATAAAGAATGTGATGCTCTCTTTAACCTTCATTCTCCTATAGATCTTGAAGGCCTTTTGACTGCTTTTAAAATGGCCTTGAAACATAACCTGCATGTTTTTAATTGTTAAAACCCTTTTGTTGTGCTTATTATTGGTATACATTACTTGAGTTCACTGTTAGGACTGATGATATTCTACCATCTCATAATACATTTTTTAAAAATACTTTCTACAGGGATTTACCTTCCATATCATTGCCATAGTCTCTGAATGGTCTTTGCTTTTCACTTTCATCATTTATTTCCTGACTTTCATCCGTGACTTCCAGGTAAGTTTCTCTACTGCAATGGTGGACAAACCTTTGGTAGACATGATGTCTTTCAGTCTTTTGGAATTTGTATTGTTTTAATCATGAGAAATGAAGCATAGATTGTTTAAAACTGAATACAGTTGAAGAAGCCTATTAGCCTAAGAAATACAAACTCAGTAATGGGGGAAAAAATTAAAGGTAGTATGCTGCAAACTATTTCTCCCCTTCTTTTGTCCTCTCTCCCTTACTCATTTTTGGGCTAGAATTTATGTAGTGCTGTACATGTTCAAATCAGTGGTGAATTTGAACATATCTGTTTAGTATTAGAATCTGTTTGGAGACTCATTTTCCCTGGGGTCAGTGATATCAGTGATTGGGCCTAGAAACATTCTGATTCTCTGAAGCTGTTATAACCCACTGGCATCATACAGCTTTCAAAGAAAAAGACTCCAAGAACATAGTGAGCACCTAAGAGCAACATCTCATGGAGAGACAGGAAGATCTTCCACCTGTTGGGAAAAGGTGTCCAGGCAAAGCTCTGGAAACAGTCCCATTCAGCATTTAGAAGTATTGACTTCCAGGGATTTCAAGTACTCCCTTTAAGGCAGGGGTGTCCAACCTTTCACCTTCCCTGGGCCAGATTAGAAGATGAAAATTTGGTTTGGGCCGCACATAAAATAAAATAACAGTAACAATACCTGATCATCCAAAAAAACCATAGAAAACATAGTCAAGATATTAAATTTATTTGGAAATGAAGTTAGTGAGATGTTTGGCATTGTTTCTCAGCCACCAATGCAGAATTCCACAGCAAATTTTGTGTCAAAATCCGTTGTGTGAACCCAGCCTTAGTCTCCTGACTACCAGAAAGTGGCACAGGCCGCAAGATGGCGGAGCTAATATAAGATGGCGGAGCTAATATAATGGATGGGGCGCAGGGTTGCCAGATCGCAGTTTGGCTCTGTGGCCAAACTCAAGCCAAAATACGGCCAAATTATTTTTATTATTTATTATTAATTAAAAATTATTTATTTTTTATCACGTTTTTTTTATCACGGTTTATCACAGTTTATTTTCCGGCCAAATTTTGTGGGGAGGGGGGGAGAAAGCTCACCTGCCTTGTGCCTACCTCTCCTCCTGCAAATGGCCCGGCTGGATGCGGCAGGACTGGAAGGCAGAAGCAGCGGCGGCGGCGGCAACGGCAACAGCAGGAGGTGGCGCTCTGAGGGCGCCTGCCTTTTCTGTTGCTCCTTGGCGTGGCGCTCGCCTCGCCCCGCCTCACGCCTGCCTCTCCTCCTCCTCCTCGCTGGCTCTGGCATGAAGGTTGGGGTGGGCACTGGGCCACATTACGAGGCGACCTGGGCCGCATGCGGCCCGTGGGCCGCGGGTTGGACAAGCCTGCTTTAAGGCATAGACAAGGATGAGAACAAAGTCTCAGAGATTGAATGATTTGAGATGACTTTATGCAATTTTTGAACGATAAAATTATTAAGACAGTAATGTTATCTATTGAGATTCCTTAATTATTTCTTATAAAGTAGAATCACGTTTTTTCATAACAAAACCAAATTAATTAATAAATGTCATTCTTTTCCACCATTTATTCTAGAAAATCTCATTGCATTTAGAAATAACACTATTTGGGCCTAATCTTTATCACCCTCAAGATCAGCTCCTAGAAGATGACCAAAGAATACCAATCACAGGAAGCATATGAGAAGAAAACAAGAGAAAATGTCACAAATAAGAACTTATCTCAGAAGAAAGCTTTGGTTCACGTTTAGAACTTTCATTTTTTTATTATGCAGAAATCATGATGTCTATTAGTTCCATTGGTATCAGCCCATATATATAGCTATATGTACAGTCCTGTGCAAAGTTTTAGGCAGATGTGCCAAAATGCTGTACATTAAGATTTTAAAAATATAAGTGTTAATCGTTTATTTTTATCGATTAAGAAAATGGAAAGTAAATGGACAAAAGAGAAATCCAAATCAAATCAATATTTGGGGTGACCACCTTTTGCCTTCAAAACAGCATCATTTCTTACACTTGCACAAAGTCAGGTATTTTGTAGGATTAGAGTCAAGTTTGGGATTAACCAATTATACCAAGCAGAGGCTAATTACCATCAATTTTATATGTAGATTGAAAGACAGTCGCTAATTGAAACAAACAGCTTAAAAGCTTAAAACTGGGTGAGGCACAACCAAACTCTGCTACTAAGGTAAGGTTGTGGAAGACAGTTTCGTGTCATAGGTCGTACACTATGGCAAAACTGAGAATAGGACAAGACAGAAGGTAATAATGCTGCATCAGCAAGGTCTCTCCCAGGCAAAGATTGCAAAGCAGACTGGGGTTTCAAGATGTGCTGTTCAGGCTCTTTTGAAGAAACACAAAGAAATGGGCAAAACTGAGACACACTGGTCAGCCAAGGAAACTTAATGCAACAGATAATAGACACATCATGCTCATCATTCCCTTTGACATTGGAAGATGTCTAGCAGTGCCATCAGCCCACAGCTAGCAGAAACCAACGAGACCCAAGTACATTGATCTACTGTCTGGAGAAGTCTGTCCAGAAGTGGTCTTCATGGAAGAATTGCACCTAAAAAGCCATACCTCGGATATGGAATCAAGGGACTTTTAACTACCAACCTCCAATACTTCACTACCTCCATTATTTCATTACCTCAAGACCTATTAGTAACAGATAATGCTTTGTCTAAAATAATTGATTTATCATTTAATAGTATAATTGTTAAATGACCACTAATTACTGATTTATTGATTGATAGTGATTTAATACTGTATCATTGATTATCTAGTTGATTGATTTTTTTAGAAGTAATTAACCTTACTTATGAATATTTATTAATTACTAACATTCATTAAGTAACTGTCTACCTACCATATTAATTAGCTATTGTAATTGTTAGTGTACTATTGTCATTGACCATGCCAGCCAAAAAGTCCAAACCCTCCATTATCAAACATCAATAAAAGAATATCTCTACCAATGAACTCCCAATGAACTTTCCTTGTTTCCTGCATATGCTTCAAATGTTTTGAAACCATCTGTGAAAGCAAAAATAACATTAAGTGCCACCTATGTGACAATCAAGCCCGCCTCACCTGTTTAAACTTAACCAAAAACCTAGTCAATCTCCTAAAAACATCAGATACATTTCCTTGTCTATGTCCATCATGTTTACCTAAGCTAAACCAATTAAATACTCTGTCTGATAAAGTTGAAAATATAGAATCATCCATTCACTCAATAGAATGCTTAGTAACACGTTTTGAAACAAGGAAGCCTAATCTCTCTTGAAAAAAATACAGCACAGATAAGCAAATACCTAACAGCTCAAAATCAAATCTCAACTCAACAACCACTACCACAACTACTCCTCAACTACAATCACAACTATAACCAAAAATAACCACCAAACCACAGCCACAAATAATCACTATCCCGTCAAATAATACCCCAAATTATATCCCCTTACTCATCAGAGACAACATGGAACGTGATCAGAAA